GGCTTCCAGCACAGACCCCGGCTTCCTGATACAGGACTAGCACAGGTCACGACCGTGAGCTCCAGACCTTCAACTGGATCCTTCCAGGGCACAGACAGACCTCTGGCTCTTCCACACCTAACTCTGTGGGTGCCCACTGGAACCTAATCTTGTACATTCTTATGTGTTTGTGTATCTTACATTCAATCTGTTTCTCTAGTAAGCACCAACTGTTACACAACCCATCATTCCGCCTTCCTTGGTCCACAAACAGCCACTGACGTTATCCGTAAGGAAAGCCTGCTTCAGAAGAACCCCGGAGGGCCTGGCCTGGCTGCAAGCCAGGGTTCAGATGTGGCGGGAGAGCAAGAGGTCTCTGGACATCTTGGAGTGACCTGGGCCATGCTGTTTATTTAGGTCACAAACACAGAGGAGGGAAAGTGGCTCTGGGGACACTGGTGTTGAACAGCTTTCTTTCCGTGAAGAAACCTTTTCTTCAAGGAAAGTGCAGGTATTTGAGCCTTGAAGTGCTAGCTCTTGCTCACTGCAATGTTGTTTCCAGTAGCAAAGAAAAGGAAGCAACCTAAATTCCCTTTGACAAGAAATGGATAAGCTGTGGCAGAGCCACACCATGGAATGCTCTCAGAGGGAACGGCTGTAGCCAAAGCGCCTTACTGAGTGAAATGAAAGTGAAGTTGGAGAAAAGCATGTTTGGCGTAAAATCATTTACAGAAGGAAAAAAAAAGAACTCACAAAACAAGACTGTATTCTTTTTCCTTTCCTTTTTCTTTGGCGGTAGTGGAGATTGAACCAGGGTTTCGTGCATGCTAAGCAAGCTCTCTGCCACTGAGCCACAGCTGCAGCCCCAATACTGCCTTTTTCTACAGATACACGGGTGCATATACAGACTCAGGAAATGGTCTGAAAGACACACGAAGGCTATAACCTCTGAGGAAATGGGAGGGGATGTGTTGGTCAAATGGAATTTAAGCCTTCTTTTCTGGGGCAATACATTTTATTGGTATATTATTTGTTTAAGTGAAACTGCTTTTTAGAAATACCACCTTTCAGAGTAAAGGTCAGGTCGATAAACTTTCTGTGAGGAGCTGGACAGTAAATATTTTAGGTCTGGTGGGCCACACCATCTCTGTCACGACTATTGCACTCTGCTGCTATAGTGAAAGCAGCTGTGGACAATCCAAAGAATGGGTGTGATCTGGGTATGGTGGTGCAGGCCTGTCATCCTGCACTCTAGGAGCCTGAGGCAGGCAAATCAGAAGGGTGAAGCCCAACCTGGGCAATTTAATGGCCAGGCAAGACCCTGTTTCAAAATAGAAAATAAAGAGGCCTGGGGATGTAGCTCAGCATAAGAGCTCTGGATTCAATCCCCAGTATGGGGGAAAAATATGTGGCTATGTTCCAATAACACTTTATTTGTGGATACTGAGATTTAAATCATTCTTAGTTTATAAACCATGCCAAAGCAGCCTGCCAGCCAGATTTGGCCCAAGAGCGGCAGCTTGCCCAGCTGTAAGGCCAGTACCAGCGCATCTCTCACCCAGCCACGCTCAACTGCTCTGTCCTCAGGCCCCCACGACTCTCCTGTGACCCCCAGGGGCCGCTCCAGCTCCCTCCAAGCACTGCTGCTCTGTCCTTAGGGACCCTCCTTTTCTGGCTGCAGGACTGTTGTTTCCTAAGCAGGGTTCTGAATAGCTCCATTCACCTTGGTGGGGGAACCCAGAGAAAGGAATTTTGTTTGGAGTCCAGAGAGAGCCAGGACTCGGGAAATCAGGCCCCCTCCTCACCCCTGGCTGCGTCCGTCCCACCCCACCAGCCCCAGCAGTCTGCCCTGCATTCTCCACCACTGCACCTGCATCTCCGCTCCAGGCTTCAGCACCATGGACTCCAGGGCCATCCGCTGCCCGGCCTGTTTCCTGCTCATCTGCGTCATTTCAGGTATGGACGTCTCCCTCCATCCTGGGACATCCGGAGACCCTTGGCTGTGGCTGTTGTGGGAGGGACCTGCTGACAGCAGGGGAAGGGTAGGAGCCCTGGGATCCAGTGTCCAGAGGCCGAGCTCCAAGCTCAGCTCTTTATTCTATGTGCCTGGTGGCCGGGTCCCCTCCGTCTCTGAGCTCAGTGTCCCCATCTGTATGTGACAAAGGTGACCTCAGTGCTTTCCCAAGCCTTTCCCAGACCTCACAGCCCTCTCTGAAAGCCAGAGGTTCTCATTTCAGTCCAGCAATCTGGGACTCAGGTCCTGGTTCACAGAGTGTGGAACTCGCTCCCAAATCTGAGCAAACAAATTCAGACTCTCTGCTCACTGGCAAAATTTAACAAGGTTGAGTCTCTACAACTCCATTACTTAGGAGTAAATGGTCTAACAATAATCTCAAAATGATAGCATGGCTTTAAAGATTAAGTGATATAGTGTTCATATATGTTTCATCTGGAGCTAATACATACATACTCAGTAAGTTGTAGAAAATTATTTTAATTGGAAAGATCCCGAGTCCATCATACTAAGATTATATAATCTCAAGAGTCTGTGCATACACTCCTAGGCCCTTTAGCTCTAAGCATCTATCATTTTTTTCATAAAGATCAACAGTTTTAGGGTTCCACCAGAATAAGGCCTGAGGATTTGTAGCCCAGAACTTTTCTTTTGTTGTTGTTGTTGTTGCTTTTCTCTTACTAGGCATTAAACCCAGGGCCTGGTACTCTAACTCTGAGCTACATCCCCAGCTCTTTTAATTTTGAGAATAGAGTCTCTCATTAAGTTGCTCAGGATGGCCTTGAATTCACAATACTCCTGCCTCAGCCTCCTGAGTAGCTGGGATTACAGGTATGTGCCACCACACCAGGTGGCAGCCCAGCTGAAACCATGAACATGCTATCCGAGATAGCTTCTTTTATATGCCAAGCACAGTGTTCTGAAGGCTCCATACAGACGGTCTCATTCAACACCCAGAACTGTCCTGCCAGGCAAGTGCCCCTGTTCTTATTGTCTAACAGCAGAAATCAGGGCTCTGGGAAATTAAACATTTGCTTTGGGTCACACAGCTAGTTATGGGGGAGCAAAGACTTGAAGCCAGGCCACTGTGTCTCTAAACCCACATTCCCTCCATGGGGCCAGGTTGCTGGCCACCTTCTTAGAGAATTCTTGCTCCTGTACGTCAGACTTCAGAGCTCTCGGTCACCTCATTAATACTCTCTCAGAGACTGTTTTCCAATGTGCACGAAGGAATCATGATGCTTGCTGGGTGCCATTCTGGGGACATAACAAAGACAAAGCCAGAATGTTGGTGCTAAGTGCTATCTCCATGAAAGAGAAGTGGAACCCCATTTCCTTGTGCAATCAAAACTCCCAGAAACTTCTGTGACATCCTTTCTCTCTACAGCCAGGCATGGACCCCAGAGGGATGTCCCACCAGGGACTCCAGCTGGAAATTTTCACTCGTGAAGATCAGAGGGCTTGGGTTTGAAAACAACGGCTTGGGCTCATTTATCAGCCAACTGGGTACCTGCAGATGTTGGTGACATGGTTAGGCCACACAGAAGGGGTGTTGCTGACTTGACACTAATTGTGCACCTTCTCTGGATGAAGCGAAGATTTGGGATTTGCGTGACAGGGAGCACATGGAATGATACTGTTGCCTCTTCCACAGGGAAGAAAAATGAGATGAGTGGATAAAGGCTGAAGATAGTGGGTCACCATCTGAAAGGGCTTCCTGGCAGTCAGAGCCATGCTGCCCAAGACAGGCTGCTACTGGGATTACCATGGGCTCGGAGCCAGGCTCCCCAAGAGGTGCGATTATATGCATGCACCAATACTCCTGGCTTGTTCTACAATTCTTCTCTGAGAGAGAATGACTGGTGTAACTGTAATAAAAGTAAGAGTTGCCAGAACCCAGAGGTCACCCAATGATAGGTGATGAAAACAGAATTAAAATGACTGGTAGAGGCTCAGGATCCCACATGCACCCTGTCTTCTTTGCAGCTGAACTCCAGGAGCAGAACCGCAAAGGGTCAGAGAAAGAGGGCCCTCAAAGCAGCCAGCCGCGATGTGGTGCAACCTTCAGGAGTGCCAGGCCACAGAAAGCCCACCTCGGCCCGGAGCCAGAAGCCCCTGCAGACCAAGAGGCTCCCGGACACCCCAGCTCCGCAGCCCTGAGCCTTCCCTGCGCCGCCGCCTTGACCCAGGTGTTGGGGAAGGGTCGCTTCCAGTCGGCGGGGGACGCTGTGCGCTGGGGGTGCCCGCGCACCTGCAGGAGGAGGGCGAGGGCCGCCTGAGGTGTGGCGGCTCGTGGCGCTGGAGGTGGCTCCTGAGCGGGGACAGCAGTCCACGAGGACCCAAATGGCTCGAAGCCACGCAGCCGCAACGTGCACCTACATGTGCCCAAAGAAGCAGGAAAGTGGGCCCCCAGGCCCTCGGGCGCAGTGGCCAGGGAGTGTGACAGAGCCTGCCCACACGGGGCTGCTCAGGTGGGCACGGGGCGCCTCACGGTGCCCGCAGGGAGAGCGGCGGCCACGGTGAGGGGAGGGCGACGGGCAGACGGCCAGCCTCCTCCCACGGACACCATTATAAGGAAGCCAGAAGCGGAGGCGAAGGCGGCCGCCCAGCACTGCCACCGACCAGCCCAGCCGGAAACCAGGCAGAGGCTGGGATAGAAAACTGGGTGCGGAACACTTGCCTACCTTCTCTCGCTTCAGCCTCTTAAAATGAGCGCTCCCGGGATTCTGCCTCCTTCAGCGGATGAAGAGGGTGAGAGGGAATTCGCAGGTCTGAACAAGGGGACGCCAGGAAGGTGCCAAGGCCGCAAAGGCCTGTGGGTGACTGCTAGGCGTCTGCGACGAGGCCAATAAGAAGCAGAACGGCCCAATTAGAAGTTGTGCCTGAAGTCAGCGGGGTTAGGTGAACCAATCAGAGGCGGTGGGCGGGGTCAACGCAAATCCCAACCGCCATTGGAGCAAGTCGGGAAGACTGCGGCGGAAGTTGGGTGGTGGGCTCTGTGGTGGGTGTTTTGGGTCGTCTCCATCTCTTGCCGCCTGTCGCCTCTGTCTTTCAGCATCAAGCACTTCAGCCAGCACAGTCAGCTGCTGGTAGTGAACTCCACGGGGGCGGACACTGGGGAATTCAGCTGCTGGGCTCGGCAGCGCGTGGGTAGAAGGCAGGGACCGCCAGGGAAAGACATTCGTCTCCTTCACAGGTGCCTGCAGTGGGGTCCCCAAGAGTGGTGTCAGGGAAAGCTCTGTGAACCGAGCTCTAAGACTCCTTTTAGATCCACCTCTAAAGGGGGAGGGATAGCTTTCCAGACCCTTTTTGGGCATTCTGAGATTCCACCTCTAGTTCCAGGCAGAGCTGAGTGGTCAGAGTCCTGCTTTATGCGGAGGCGGAAACGCACTGCCCTTGTAGAGTCAGTCGTGTCTTTCTGAAATCAAGCCATAACGATAATGACCCAACCTAGCGGTTCAACAAACCCTACAGGTGATTCCCGACTCCTGACAGGTTGGGGACCAGGCACGCAGCCCCGGCCAGCTCTGGCTGCAGTTCGGACCACCCCCAGAGCTTTAAAACCACAGACCCCAAGCCCTGCACCCCAGGGCAGGTCCCAACCTGCTTGGTCTGGGGGGTCAGGTGATTCTAATGCACGTCCCAAGTCGAGAAACAACTGCATTTGTCAGGGCCACTTCACCCAGTACGGAAGCCACTGAACAGATGTGGCTGTTTGAACGGAAGCTAAATAAAACCCTAAACAGTTCCTCAGTTGCACTAGCCACATTTCAAGTCCCCAGCAGTCACATGTGGCAGGTGGTCACAAGCTGGGCAGTGTAGGTACAGAGCATGTCGTGGAAAGTTCTGTTGCACAGCAATGCTCTAGAGAGCTGCTCCCCAGACAATTCCTGCCCATTGAACTGCTATGCACCTGAGTCTGACCTGAGACTCTGGTTAAAAGTGCCTTGAAAGAGTGTGATGAATGTTTGCCTCTCTGGGGCCTGGGGCCTCATGTCCAATATCTCATCTGCTTCTTATCAGCTCTACAAAATAGGCCAGATTGGGATTACTGCTCCCCATTGACACATGAGAAGAGACGAGTCCCAGAGGGGCACATTGAGCTGCTTAAGATCTCACAGGGAGTGAGTGGGTAGGGGGACTGAGAATCAAACTAGAAACTTTGATTTTGAGTTCAGTATTTCCTACATTTTCCTCCAGAAGGGCCCTTAGGAGTCAAGCAGTCTGAACCTCTCATTGTATATAATGATGACCAGAGAGGGAGTTTTAAGATACACAGCAAGCTAAAGACAGGGCTGGAACTACCAGGTCTGTCTTTAGCATCCTGAGCCCAAGAGAAAAGCATGCAGAGCGGCTGGGTGGAGAGGGTAAGGTTTCAAGCCCCCCAAGGGACCTCATGCTCCCGGTGGTGATAAAGCATCAGATGATGGGATGGCTGACCAATCTGGCCAAGCCTATCTCTCGCCCTCTCATTCCCAGATCCAGAGGAGCTCTTTGTCCCTAGGGAAGATTTCTACAGGTGGTGCAGCTGTCCACTCATCAGCCAGCACTGCTTCCCTGCCAGGTGACCAACCCCTGGCCTGGGTGACTGCACCTGGAGTTCCCCCCGCAGAGGTGCCGGTGGTGGGACAGACATCTCCTTCGATGTGAAGAGAGGCTTCACCATCCTCCGACCCCGAGCTCCGACCTCTGGCTGGCCCCTCTTCTGCTCAGCCAGCCTGGTCTACCAAGTACATGCTGATCTAAACCAACTGTGCCTGGGTCTGGGGCTCTTTGAGGGCAGGGGAGGGAGGATATGCAAAGGGACACTGCCCTTAGGACCTCAGATCTGGGGTGCATGAGTTATGGAGCTCTAAACAACCCGACAGGGTTTAACCCTCCTTGCTGTCCAGAGCCCCTCAGTGCTCCATAGCAGGCAGCCAGTCAGCCAGCAAGCTTCCTGCATCAGTTCGGCCGCTCCACGCCTCTGTCCTCAGTCGGTCCAACTAGTCCATTCCTTCATCCTGCCCCAGGTCAGCTCTGCCCCATCTGTCTCTGCTCCCCCAGGTCAGCCATCCCATCATCCACCCATAGTCCAGGATTCTTTATGTCTCTATCAGTCAGACCACCTCAACCATTCAGTTTAACCTTTCCATCCATGCACTCATTTAATTCAGTTTAACCGTGCCACCCATTCGTGCCGTTCAGCCATCTCTCCATCCACCACCCGTCGTCAACTCAAGCACTAACAATCTTGCTTTTTATCCATGGCAGACCCATCTTCCTCCCCGAACCCACCATCCAGGCTTCAGCAACATCCGTCCAACTAGGGGAGAACTTCGATGTCAACTGCTAGGTCCTGGGTGAGCTGGAGATTGCTGTGGAGTTCAGCTTGGAGGACCCCGGGCAGAAGGTAAGCGCAGGGCAGGAGGCCGAGTGATGTGTCCATGCGCGTGGCTGAGGGTTGGGCAGGGAGTGGGGGTGAGGGACTGGGACAGAGGTCTGGTGATCACTGCAATGGAACCGCTGCCTGACTGGGGGTCTGAAGGACTTGGGTTCTAGTCCCGACCCTGCCGCTGCTCTTCTGAGTGACATGGAGCAAGTCACCTGCTCTATCTGGGCCTCAGTATCCCCATGTGGTAAATAGAACTACTCAGGTCACTGCCAAAGGAGGTAGAATTTATTCCTTTGTTCACTTATCTGACAGTAATTATTGAGCTGCCACCATGTGCCAAGCACTGTGCCAGGTGCTGAGATTACAGTGCTGGTCAAAGAGACGAGGTTTCTGCGGCCCGCAAGCTTATGCTCTAAGCAGGGAGAGGGGAGGAGGATCGCATAGGAACTGCCGAGTGCCATAATGGAGCAAAACCGGGCTCTGTTCAGGTCTGCTTAAATTAGAGTGGTCAAGGAGTCATCTTCAAGGTGTGACCAGGGTGGCCCCAACCACGCGAAGACGGGGTGCGAGCAAATGCCCAGGCCTGCGGCTGTGAGGATGAGATGACTCGTGAATCGCCTGTTTCCGGGGCGTGGCGTGGGCCAGACCTTCCCCACGTGATGGTAGAGAGGTGGTAGTGGTGCTGATGATGCTCCTTCCTCTCCAAGAGCTTGAAACCTCCAGAGAGCAGCTGTGGCCAAGTGTGCCAGGAACACCAAGGACTTTAGGAATTCTTAAAAGAGCTTCCTGGATGAGCTGGAACTTGACAGGAGCCTTGAAGGGTGGACTTATGTGTGTGGAAGGCTGTGTGGCCCGAGGCAGCAGGAGCAAAAGCGAGGGAGTGCGTGTGCCTGTCACAGGAGCTGCACACCCACCTCACACTGTGAGCTGCTGAGCAGGCAGGGAGCCGAGGGGCCGGGCTGAGGAGCCACACCAGTCAGGATGTGCTGTTCCTGAACTTAAACTGCCTGAGCTCCGCTCCGTCTTGCCCATCTCTGGGCATCCGGAGCCAGGACATCAGGAGCGCCCTGCCTGAACCTCTCTTCTCCCTGTGCTGACCTACCTAGGCCGGCTCCAGCCAGGATGGCACAAAGAAGAAACTCCAGGGCTGCAGGAGCTGATGGGGGGATCATTCTTCCACCTGGCAGGAGACAAACTGAGACCCGAGAGGGGGAGGAACAGAGATGCCTGGGAGGTGGCTTTGCCGGGCCAGTATCTTCCGGGTGTGTCCCTTGCAGTGGTAGAACACTAGAGCCCTCTCCTGCATGCTCCGGCGCCCAAAATGGTGTTCTGGGGAAAATACTGCCGATGACACTCACCCCGCACCTTTGGGAGTTGGCACATACATGTACACGTGAAAGGGTCAGGTCTAGGTCCCATTTACTCAGCATTTTCCAAACCCTGGTCATGGGACCCGCACTTCACCTGCCATGCGGACACACGAAGCACTGACAACCATCCTTTAGGGCCAGAGGACCACAGACCCACACCGGAAATGCCATTCAGAGCCCAGTTTCCTCCAGAGTACTTCCTGAGCAGGAAGGAGACCCCGGCTTCTCTCCAGGGACCTGAGAAGCATAAAGGTTTTCACAAAGAACTGGCCTTCAAGGAGCTCTGGCACCAAGGGTCACATGCATGTCATTTCCCTGAAGGGTTGCCTGGTGCCTAAGCTGGACAGGCACCCGGAACAGCTAATGGGCAGTTTCTGTGTCACCTGCAGCTAGGCCGACCCCCCTGTGTCAGCGAGCAGGCCGAGGTTATCCACCGAGAGGGCCAGGCTCAGCAGCAGGCTGAGAGCACCTTGGATGTGGAAGAGTCCAGGGCTGGGGATGCTGGCATCTACACCTGCAGGGCCACCACCCATGTCCACGTGGCCCGAAGCCCTCATGTCTCTCACACCTTCCTTAGCTCCTCCTCACTGCCTCCCGCTGCCTGCACTCGGGTGTGGAGCAAGAGGCGGGCACGGGTGGCACCAGTAGGCACCTGGGCACTGCAGGGCTGCTTTATGAAGGCTGCCACTCCCAGCAGAGACCTCCTCCTTCACCCTGTGCTCGCCCTGGTGCTGTCTTCCCGCTCTTCCCTGCAGCAGCTCCCTCCCCACCCTCCCTCCAGTCCACCTCCACCCCTGGCCAGGTGCCACCTCCAAAGCTGGGGCTGAGCCACGTTCTGGTACCTGAGAAGGGAGCTCAGAAGGGCCTGGGGGCCCAGGCCCCGGAATTTATTCCTTAAAGATCCTGGCCACCTCTCTCTTCTCCCAGGAAAAGCAGAGACCAAAGAAATAAGATATTTCATGTTCCTTTTAGCGTCCATAGCTTGCCTGGCCCTGATAAGGGTCTGACCGGAGTTTATTTCTCCTGCGTGTCCACCACAGGGTGCAGGATGGAAACCCCTGCCCCTTTCAGCTAGGAGGCAGCTTTCTAAAGTGCATCCTGCAGCCTGAAGAAGTTTGGCAGATGCTCAATACATTGCTTCCTGTGTGAGAATTTGCAAAGCACGTTAGCACATTGAAGGCTGGAGAAGTCCCACAGACTGCAGATCTGTTTTGCTTTGGGAAAAGTCCCATGAAAAATGACATGTCTGCTCCTCCCCAGGGCGACTTCCGGTGAGCTGGGCCAGGGCTTGTGCTGAAGCTGGGGCCTTTTAACTCTGGTGAGCTCCTTCTGTCTGCTGCTAAGGACGGACAGACACTTGCTTCAAGGGTCTTATGAGGATGAAGGGAGCGAAGCTGTGTGGAAGCACTTTCATGATCAGACCCTGAGCTTCCTGAGAAGAATCTGATCCACAGACTGGCTGGGCGGCCTGCTGAGGTTTGTCACTCCAGCCCCACCGGCGCAGTGTGTGTGTGTAGTGGGGACTGAGCTATAACCCCAGACCTTTTTATTTTGAGACAAGGTCTCGCTAAGGTGCCCAGGCTGGGTTTGAACTTCCAACCCTCCTTCCTCAGCCTCCCCGAGTGTGGGGATGATAGCCGTGCACTACCACGCCTGGATTCCAGCCAACCCTTTTCTCACTGATGGCGAAGCTGAGGGCCATGTGGGAGGCCCGGGCCTGGGGCCTAGGGTCCGGGATGGCAGGAGGAGTGAAGACAGACAGCAGGGGAGAGGGTGACCTGGGAGTGGGGTCAGTAGCAGAAGGTTATGCCACAGACCTGATGTCCCCAGAGCCTGGGAGAAGAGAAGGAGCAGCAGGCTGAGACCTGCCCACAGGTGCGATCCCATTCTGACTCTGGGGCCTGCTCCCCACTCCAGCTTTCTCACCTGTACAGGGCCAAGGGTTCCGCTCTGCCTGCTGAGGGTCCTCAGACCCCCGGACGTGGCCTCTGGGACTAAGGGACTGGGAGCACTGGCCTGCGGGACCTCGGCCAGCCGCCCACCTTCCCCTCTGAGTCAGGACGCGTCCAGCCTCAGCCCCTAGCCTGACCTCCTTCAGGCAGGCCTGCTCTCGGACACTGCCGCCTCTCGAGTCACTGACAGGTACCTTAGCTGTCTCAGAGCAGGGGAAACTGAGGCTGGGAACAGAGCAGCACAGAACTGTGAGCTGGCAGCAGGGCTGCAAGCTGGGACCATGGCGGGCTCCCCATTGTCAGGTGGCCCCAGGGAAAAGCCTCAGTTTCCCTGATTTGGGTGACAGACACGGGACAGAGGACTCCTCTTGCGTGTTCCCAGGGCCTGCAGTGCCCCTGGGTGACCCTCGTGGCCCCAGCCCCGGGCTCTGGGCTCCACACACCTGGGCTCCCCACCTCGCCCCTGCCCTCGTGCCTTCCTGGGAGAAGAACCGAGCAGCTCCGCGGCTTCTCCAAGTCTTGGTGGGAGTTGTCACTACAGGCATCAGGATGGGCCGGGCCCTGCCCTAGGTGGCCAGGAAGGAGACCTCCGTGGGGGTGACAGAGACCAGGGGGAAGGTGGAGGGGACGTCCGCCCCAAGGACCCGGTACAGCAGCTCCTCCTTCTCCTGCTGCAGCTGCTGCCGGGCGTACGACTCCTTCTCCAGGGCCTTGTGGGCCAGAAGCAGGTCTTCCGAGAGCTGCCTGTGGTACAGACAGGCCGAGGGCTGCTGCAGGGACGCACCCTTCCTCTAGGCCGCTAGCCTGCCCCAGGTCCCCAGCCCCACCCCTCTCACGGTCCCGGGCCTGTACCCAAGGTGCAGCTCAGGCTGCGGACAAGCTCAAGGTCCTCCAGGCAGCCGGCTCAGGGCTGCTCCAAATCCCTGTCCCACCACGGGAAGCATAACTGGGGATAGCTCATTCATGTGGCTCATTTCAGTTTCCTCATTTGTGAAATGAAGATAAGGTAATAGGACCCAGCCCTTAGAACCCACAGGGCTGTATTCTGTCACTCTCCTTCTCATCCCACGCGGGCCCGCCTACCCTGTTTCCTGCCCCCTTCCCCTCTTGCCCCGGAGCCTCTGAGCCAGCAGCAACATAGACGCAGACGGCGACCGCGCTTCTGCGCAGAGCAGGTCCATCGGGTTTCCTGACCTCCAAGGAAAGTGGGGCCACACTTCCTGGCCAGGCTCAGGGCCCCCTGTCAGCCCTCTCCTCAGACTTAGAGACCCTCCCAACCTGAGACCTTGACCACAGTGGGAGGTGGCGACCCCTACCTTGACACTACCGCCTGGTTCCGGGCTTGGACGACCAGGTCCTCATTGTCCTGTTGCAGGGTTGTGATTTTTTCCTCCAACATCAGATTTTTTTCTTTCTGTAACAAACCAGAATGAGCTCAGAAAGCTGCCAGGTTCACATGGCACGACACCTGCTGTCACCTCCCTCTTGTCCAGGGTCCCCCAGACACGGATTCATTCCCGACTGGTGTTGCATTTCCGGAGCAAAGAGATAACCTGCAATAAAGCTACAGAGTTGACACGCTGCCATCTTTCAATTTTGCGACGGGGAAATGTGAAAAAGAAAACAGCTCCTACCTCACGTATCACCACCTGTGTACAGAAGAAAGGGCATAGCTTTTGGGCTCCAAAGCCAAAAGGACACAGTCTATATAAATAAAATGACGCTAGTCTATTGTGCAAGAATGGTTCAACAAAATTGACAGGGCACATCTGAGCCGGTGTGGTGTCACACGTGGGAGACCAGGGAAACTCCTGAGCAGCACGAGGACTCAGCCCCAGGCTTCTGCACTCAGAGTCACCTTCCTGCCTCCTTCCTCAGCCCTGCCTGGCCTGTGACACCTCCCAGCCCCACCCGATCAGCTGGGCTACCTGTCCCAGCATGGTCCCTGTTACAGCTGGATGAGTAGCCAGTAAAGGCGCAGGACCCCATGCCAGGAGCCACCGCCTGGCCCAGACCGGCCACAGGCCGGCCTCGATCGAAGCCGCTGTGCACCAGGCTGGGCCTCCTCTGCCCACGCTCACAAAGGAAATGCCCAGAAAGCGAGCCCAATGCTGCATTCTCAGCCACGAACCACGGTTTCCATGAGGATCAGCCGCTTGTCCAGCTCATGAATCCGCTCACTCTTCATCTCGATGACAAAATGCAAGCTCTCCAGCTCCTGCTCCCAGAACTGGCTGGGGCTCCCATGGTCCTGGACAGGGCCACAGAGGGACCGCATCAGATCGGCAGGTAGAGCGGGCGGGCTGTCCCCTTCTCCCCATTCTGCCCCCGCCTGCTGACTTTGGGAAGGCACCGCCATCCTTGGCTCGCGGTATGTGTTGTTCACTTCATCTCATTTTACCCTCCCCTCCAGGTGTGTCCCAGCACTTTCCCAGGTGAGGCGGCTCCTCTCACATAGGCTGGGTTGCTGTGCTACACGGTAGGTTTGCTGTTTGCACCCAGCTCTCGCTGGACCAGGGGCTGTGCCCTTTACCATCCCACCTGCCTGTCCCAAGCCTTCCTGCCCCCTCAGTGAAATGTGGGCCCTCGTGCTGCAGTTCCCCCTGAAGGTGAGTGTCAGGTCTGAGGCGTGGGCTTGCAGAGGAGCCAGCCTTTCTCACTGCCCGACCGTGCCCTCCTGGGGGTTGAAGGAGTGGGGGGCCCCAGGTGAGCTGCACCTGCCTGGATGTGCTTCTTATAGTCTCGGGTCAGAATGGACTCCTCCACCCTCTTCATCTTGGCCTGGAAGGCCTCCAACTGGGCGCTCAGTTCTGCTACGGTGTCCTGGAGAAGGGAGCAGGAGGGAGGTGGTCAGGGTCTGGTGATAAAGGTGGATTCCACCATGTGCCAGAGGAGGACAGCTTTTGGGCTTTTCGCCTGTGGCTGACGAGTCCAGGCTTAGTCTACCCCAGCCACTGCTCGCACCGTCCCAGCCCCTCCGCATGCTATCCAATCCCGAACGGCTCCCTAAGCCCTTGAGGATTGAGTTTTTCTGGTCTCCTCTCTCACTGCTCCTGTCTCCACATTCTGTCCCGCAGCCAACATCACATCTCTGCTCCAAGTACAAGCTGTGTTCTTGTCTCCAAACTTCCTTCCCTGGTGAGAAGATTTCCCTCTGTTAACCCTTGACCATGACCTCTGGATCGAGTTCAACCCTTAAACACGGCTCCCGGCTCCCACCTTCTGGCCTCACCCACCTCTCTGGCGTCTCCCTCTTTCCCATGCAGTCCACACCCTGGGCATCTGGACTTCCTTCAGCTCCTCAGGTATTCTATATTTTTTCCCTTTTTCCTCCAGGTTTTAGAATAGATTGCTTCATTCTGCTCAGGGCACTCTTCCTACCCTTCTTTACTGAAGATTTCTAACCCATCTCTTGGGTTCCACCTTAGATCTCATTCCCTCTAGGAAGTGTTCCTTGGGCAGCCACATTGAGCTGAATGCCCCCGAGTGCCTGGCATCTGTGTGCCAGTCTAGTCATGTGGTAACATGCAGTCCCTAATATCCTCCCAACAGTCCTTGCAAAAACTGGCCAACCCCGAGTGCAGATCAAGTCCTCTTGAGCTAATAATGGTCTGGTTACCACATCCAGGGCCTTTTGGACACCTGGAAGGCAGTCACCTCTGCCCCTCTGACCTAGTGGCCATCAGTTTGGCTGCTTTGGAGCCCCGTGCTGCTTTCTGCCAGGCCTCCCCTGCCCACACCAGAGACTGGCACTGCTTAGTCATCTTACCTGAAGGGCCGCTTTGGCCTCCTGGAAGGAGTGGGTAAGGGCTGCTTTCTCCTGCTCCCAGGACGCCTGGAGGACTGTGGGGGAAAGGTGATCTCCATGAGCCCAGGTGGTTCTCCCTAAGTCTCCTGAAAACCCCTCAGGAGCAGAAGGGTAGAGATGATCCAGGGCCTCCAGGGGCCAGGAGTTGGGAAGGGTCTCACTCACCCTTCTGTCTCCTAGGCTGGCTGGGAGCTGTGCCAGAAATACACTAGGCATTTAGCAAAAGCTCGGGGGAATGGAGATAAATTACGTCTCTGGAAACAGACCATACCCATGAACGCCACCAGATTGTGGGCGCCACGTGCATCTCACTGAGGCCCAGATGCAAAGGCCCTGCGGCCAGCCTGTCTACCTTACACCTCACGTCATGGAAGTGCATAGGGCCATTATCAGCCGGGCCAGCAAATCACAGTCAGCAAGCCGTTCGGGTCACACCAGAGGGCAGAGCTACGGGAGGTGCATTAGCTCCGAGGCAGGAAACCTACCTGAACTGGCTCTGCTTCTCCAAAGCAGGGACCTGAGAAGATCACATCAGACATTGGAAAGTCCTGTCGCCTCAACTGAGAAATGGGGTCAGTGCGCTTGTCCTGACTGTCTCAAGGGGTGACTCAAGGATCACCTGAGAGGAGGATTTGTACAGCTTCCAAAGGGAGCGGTGCTGGAACGCGCTGTCATTCCCAAGTCAGTGGCTGTTTATCCTCCCCACTGTCCCCGCAGACTGCCTTTGGGAAAGTTCCAACCTCGTCTCATTTGAAAGAAGACAGCAAAGAAAGGGCCAGTCAGTGGCCAGGAAGAGAAGTAGAGTAGAGAGGACAAAAAAGTTAAATACAGCTAAAGCAGCCAGTCCCTGTGGTGTAGGCCTATAATCCCAGCACTCTGGGAGGCTGAGGCAGGAGGATCACAAGTTCTAGCCCAGCCTGGGCAACTGAGTGACTTAGTAAGACCCTGTCTGAAAATAAAAAATAAAAATAAAAAGGGGATTGGAGATTCTTAGTAACACACCCACACACAGCCAAAGGGCCAGGTGGGTAGTAAGAACACAGAAAAGGATGTACAGTGATATAAATGTGATAGAGCCATTGAAAACTACAGCCTTCACTTAAAAAAAAATGGACTTAGTTCGTTAATTTGCCTGTCAAGACAGGCTATGGTTCCGGAGAAGACACTTTGTCCAGGTTCCTGATTGCAGTAGCCACACAATCCAGACAGAATGAAAAGGAGTGATTTGGAACAACTGTTTGAAAAGTAAATGGTTGCAGCAAACTGGGCAAGAAGACAAAGTCTTAACAAATAAACAGGAGCGACTCAGAAGAACCAAAAGGAAAGTTCAGAAGTAAAAGAGTCAATAAATGAAATAAAAAATTCCCTGAGTAGAATCAACAGCTGGATGGAGATGATGTAAGAAAGACATTGAACTTACAGATAGATCAATAGAAATTATCCATTCTGAACAACATAGAGGGGAAAAAATGAGAAAAAAGTGAACAATGAACAGACCTTTAGGGCCCTATAAGATAGTCCTAAAATGTTTAACATCTGTGTCGTCAAAGAAGGGGAGAAAGAGTGAATCTCAGAAAGATTATTAAATGAAGCCAATTTGGCAAAACATAAACCTACAGATTAAAGAAGCTCATGGGACCTCAAAGTAAACCCAGTGAAATCCACATCCAGACACATCACTTCTGAAAACTAATGACAAAGAAAGAAAAAAATCTGCAATGGGACTGTGAACTAATGGTACATTATTTATGGGGAACATCAGAAACTTTGGAAACTAGAGGAATAAAAATTTTAAATTGCTTAAAAAAAAACCGAAACAAAACTATAAACCCAGAATCCTATCTCCTCTGAAAATATCCTCCAGGAAAGAAGGTAAAATAAAGACATTCTCAGATTAAGGAAGACCAAGAATTCATCATCAGTAGACCTAACCTAAAAGAATGGCAAAGAAAAATTTTCAAGTAATACCAGAGGGAAACGGGGAACTTCAAGAACATAAGAAGAGCAACACAACTGGAAAAAAATACCTGGGTGAATGCAATAGATTCTTACTCTTCTTTTAACCCTTTACAAATATGACTAATGATTAAAAGTAAAAATGATGACATTGTCTGATGGAGTATTCAAATATATATAGATGTAATACATAAGAAAAATAAAAGTAGGCCCATCTTACCCATGATGTCATTTCCCATGGTTTCCATTACTTACAGTCAACCACAGTTCAAAAATGGTACACAGAAAAAAACAACTAATACTTTTAAAGTAACTTTTATTACAGTATATAATTGTTCTATTTCATTATTCTTGTTGCTAATATCACTGTGCCTAATTTATGGATTAAACTTTATCACAGATATATGTATAGAAAAAACACAGTATACTTAGGGTTTGGTGCTATGTGTTTGGCATCTGTTGGGGTCTTAAAATGTATCTTCCATGGATAAGAGGGTACTACTGTGAGGCAAACAGGGAGAGGCCAGAGAAACCTACATAATGGTAAGGCCTCTACATTCCTTTTGAGGTGGTAAAACATCAATCCTAAGTAGACTATTAAATAATTATACTATAATTCTTAGAGCAATCACTTAAAAATACTATACAAAAAGACACAGTAAGAAAGATGAGATAAATTGATATAGAATACTGTACTAAAAGATGTAGAAATACTTTAAAAGAAGGGGGAAACAGAGGATAAAAATGGGGAGAACAAACAGAAAACATATATTAAAATGAAAGACCTAAAGCCAAGCATTACATGTTCTAAACACACCAAACAGAAGATAAGAGTATGTCAGAATGGGTAAAAACCAGCACAACCACCACCAGTATGTTGTCTCAGGAGGCATTCCATTACTGTGAAAAAAATTTCTGAGATAATCAACTTAAAAGGAGGAAAGAGTTATTGTGGCTTATGGTTTCAGAAGTTTCAGTCCATGGTCACTTGGTCCTGATGCTTTATACTTAGGATAAGATAGTATATCATGATGGGAGAATGTGGAGGAGGAGGCCTGTTGACCTCATGGTATTGAGATGCAAAGAGAAAGCCAGGACGGGGCTGGCTCCGAGTATCCCCTTCAAGGCCATACTACCAGTGACTTCCTTTCCCCCCACTAGGCCACACCTCCTAATGGCTCCACTACCTCCTAATAACTCTATGGGCTGGGGACCAACAGCTCAGTGCATGGGCTTTGGAGGACATTCAAGATGTAAACCCACCATATATATATATGTGTGTGTCAGAGGTAGGTTAACAGTGAAAGAGTAGAAAAATAAACATTTATTAATAAAGTTGTAGTTACTATATTAATTTAAAATGAAAGAAGAAACAAACAAATATTCAATTAGAAGTACAGTCTTCAACATTATACAGTTTTCAGTAGAAAACACAGAAAACCAGCAAGGATATGAAACTGAACATCACCATCAACCAAACCTGATCTAGCTGATTGACCTATAAAGCATTCAGCCTAACAAGAACATAATACACATTCTTTTCAAGGGCTCACAACACGTTCACTAAATAGACCATATCCTGGATCATAAAACAGACTTTAGCAAATTATAAAGGAGTGAAATAAAACTGGTTCTCTGGCTGTACTGGAATAAAAACGGAAATCAGTAACAGAACGAGAAGCAGAGAAATATCCACACTCAGAAAAAAATTTCTAAATAGTCAGTGGGCCAAAGGGCAAATTAGAAAATGTTGTGAACAGGACAAAAATACAAAATATCAATTGTGGGATGCAGATAAAGCAGTGGCGGTGAGGGAAATTTATAATGTTAAATGATTATACTGGAAAAGTCTCAAATCAGTAATCTAAGATTTTATTTTAAATCATAAAAGGAAGAGCTAACTAAACATAAGCAAGCAACAAGAAATAAAAATAGGTATCAATGAGATTAAAAATGGGCAGATAGAAAAAAACTAATGGAACTAAAAGTTTGCTTCTTTGAAAAGATCAATAAAAATAAAAGCCTCAGGCAAGAATGACAGGAAAAAGAGAACACACAAATGATCAACATCAGGGAATAAAGGGGAGGACCTTTAGACATAGTAAACATTTGACACGATATCAGGGGAATGAATACTAAGAACAATTCATTGCATATAAATCTGACAACTTAGATGAAATGTATCAATTCCTCAAAAGCTACAAACTATCAGAACTTGCCCAAGGTGAAATATAAAACCTCAATGTTCACGCATTTATTAAAAGAAGTGAGGGCCAGGGATTTAGCTCAGTGGTTGCGCTGCCTGCTATGCAAACGCAAGGACCTCAGTTTGATCCCCAGTCCAAAAAAAGGGACTGAATTTTTATTTGAACACATTCTGGGAAAGAAATACTCAAGCACAGATGGTTCCACTGCCAAATGCTATTAATCACTTAAAAATGACATCACACCAATTCGTTATGTTTATCCAGAAAGAGGAGGCAACATTTCTCAACCTGTCCCACAATGTAAGTTTTATCTTGATACTAAAAACAGAAAGGGAAAGGAAAGAAGGGAAAGAAAAAAATATGAGAAAAGTAGGAAAAAATGGAAGCAAAGCTTTTGTAAAGAGGAGGGGTGGAGGCATGGAAAGGAGGGAAGGAGAGTGGAAAAAACAAGAACTAAGATATGTCATGTATAGGTACAAATTCCCAATGAAGAATGTGGTCATAATGCATGCCTAAAATGTACCAATAACATTAAAAAAATAAAAACAAAGAATAAGAAAACTACAGATACATATCTCTCAGGAACATAGACACAAACATCCTCAACAAAGCATCGGCAAATCAAATTCAGCAACATATATATCTATTTTATATAGATACCTAAAATAAATCGCTTTTGGCTAAGATCAAGTGTAGATACATCAAGTAATATACCATGACTGGTGGGGTTAACACCAGAAATGAGGTAAGTTAATATTTGAAAACTCAGATCTTGGAATCTACCATATCCACAGTCTGAAAAAAGCACATGATCATAGGGATCACGGATTTAAATGTTAAATCTAAAACCATAAAACTTTTGGAAGAAAAATAGGAGAAAGTTTGTTACCTGGTTTGAACAGGGTTCACAGAGTTGACTCCAAAAATATAATTAAAAAAAGTAAGTTTGACTTTATCAAAATTAAATGTTTTGCTTTCTGAAAGATATTATTTCACCAGGTCTGGGCCCCATGCCTGTAATACTCAAACTTTGGGAGGCTGAGGCAGGAAGATTAAAATTTTGAGCCCAGCATGGGCGACTTGGTGACTTAGCTGGACACTTTCAAAATAAAAAGTAAAACGTGCTGAGGACGTAGCTCAGTATGAAGGCCTGGGTTCCATGCTCAGCACAACAAAAATAAATAAATAAAGGAAAGAAGGAAGTAAAGAAAACAGACATTATTAAGAGAAGGACAAAGCCCCTACAGACTAGGAGAAAGTATTTGCGAATACAAAGGATTTGTACTCAAAATATATAGAGCTCTGGGCCACAGATTTAGCTCAGTGGTTTCGCTGCCTGCTGCGCAAGCACAAGGACCCAAGTTCAATCCTCGGTCCCCCACCCCCCCAAAAAAAACCTCCAACCAAAAATATATATATATCGCAAAACTCAACAGTAAGAACAAATAAATGACTAAAATGGGGGAAAAATTTGGACAGACATTTGATCAAGAAGCACGTATGAACAACAAATAAGGCCTGAAAGATGTTCAGCATCACCAGTCATTGTTAATGTGCGAACTAGGCCGCGGAGAGTCACCCCGCAGGTACCAGAGCAGCCTAAACCAAGCCACCAGGAGCGCTGGCCAGAGGAAGGGCCCTCACCCCCCGCAGGCGGGCACTGTAGAAAGGGGCTCGCCCTGGACAGCAGAGCAGCGCTTCTCATCGTGCCTGATGTGCATTTATTACCTAGCCCGAGGAGCACTTAGGAGAGTGCCCGGAACAGCTCTGTCCACAGTCACTCAACCGGAAACGACCCAGCGCCCTGCAGCAACTGTGGGAGGGACCTTGCCCTGCAGCTCAGCAGGGAGCAGGAAGCAGCCGACACCAAAGGCCTGTTCCGTCACTCACCTGTACAACAGCTCATAATCACGGACAGCAGGCCGGGGGGGCCCGGGACTGACCAGCAGGACACGGAGGGACAGAGGCCTTCGGGGTGACGGACTATTTTACATCCCGATTATGGTGAGGGTCGCACAAATCCATAAGTGTGTTAGAACTGTTTTTCCCCAGTCCTGGGGGTCAAACCCTGGGCCGCCTTCTGCGTGCGAGCGAGGGAGTGCTCTACCACTGAGCTATAGCCCAGGTCTTTTAAATTCTTATTATCTCTTGAGATTTTGAGACAAGGTCTCACAAAGTTGCCCAGCCAGGCCTTGAACTTGTATCCCTACTGGCTTAGCTTCTCAAATTGCTGAGATCACAGGTGTGTGCCCCCATGCCTGGCTGCGTGTAAGAATTCATGGAGCTGTGCACACACACACACACACACACACACACACACACACACAATTTAAAATGAAAAAAATAAAAACAAAAATAGAAGATAAAGGACAGCAAAGGATCATGGAGTATGAAAATCCCCACTAGGCTTTCCTAGTTACTTTCACAAATAAATGAAATCTCTCATATTTCCCCCCAAGCTATGTACTTGTGCGTTCACTTAATACCCACTTATGCAGCATTTGATATGGTGCCAATCTGAAAATAACTATACAGGAATTCTGATGATAGCAGGACTGGCACTCTCCTTTGGGCTTTAGGGTAGGAAAATTTTAATCAACACTTTCATAGCGATGAAAATAATATCAAAGTGTAGAGAATAAGGTTGCTTTTGAACAGACCCTTGGGAAGCAGAGCAGGCAGATTTTAGAGAGAAATGGAGCTCAGATGTAAGGAGGTGAGGGTGATAGGGTGGGCTGGTAACAGGCTGCTTTAGTATCAAAGTACATCTCTAGGACTTCTCCGCAAGGGCCTTCATTCCACTCCAGAATGCTCCCTGCTCGTGTTGCAATACGCTTCAAGATTCTTAAAACTGTACAGACCTCTGTTCCAGCTACTGTTTCAGGGACTGAGGACCTACTGGGAAATGTGGGCATATCTCTATGCACAAGAGGTACAGGAAGGAGTGTTACAACAGCTAGAATCTAGACTTCTGGACTCACAGAAAATAAGCAAACCGTGTATGTTATAGTCTAGCCTTTTAAGCATTTTAGTAGAAGCCTATTTGGAAACATGCTTGATAGCACGTTAAAGGAAAAGAACAGGATATAAAATATTGTGGTAAAATAATCATAACTGTTTAAAAAAAGACAAACACTATGTTTCCCTAAGAATAAGACCCAGCTGGAAAACAATCACCCTTGAAAACTAGAGATCAAAACACCAGCCCCGGGCCGGGGATTTAGCTCAGTGGTGCCACCGCCTGCCTCGCAAGCACAAGGTCCTGAATTCAATCCCTGGTCCCCCCCCCCCCCCGCCAAATATGCCAGCCCTGATCAGCTTGTCCTGGCCTTCCCTGCCATCACGGTTCATCAATCTTAGTCACGATGTAAGTGCAAATTAAACCGTAAGGGCACACCACTTCACACTCGGCAACATAGCAATAAGTTTTGAAAATAACCAGTGCTGGCAAGGACATGGAGCCATCGGGGCCTCATGCTTGGCTGCTGGGAACAGCACATAGTACAGCTGCTGTGGGAAGCAGCTCCGTGGTTAAGTGTAGTGCTTCTCCCCCGGGGTCCACGCAGGGAAACTGAAGTCAGGGGGCCAGCGGGTGTCAGTGTAGGGTGCTGCCCACGGTGGGAGAAGGTAGAAGTGGCCCAATGGGCATCAACTGATGCACGCATCAACAAAGCATAGTCCACTCAGCGGAGCATTACTCTGCCGTAAAAAGGAACAGCGTGCAGATGCGTGCTGCAATATGCATGGGCCCTGGGAACCTCACGCTGGGGAAGGAAGCCGGAGGTGAAGGCCACAGGCTGTATAGTTCTATTTCCATGAGTGCCCGGCATGTAGCAGGCACATCCACAAACAGCAGATTCGCGGTTGCCAGGGGCTGGTGGCAGTGGGGCTGCCTGTGGTGAGGAAAATATTCTGGAGCTGGCTTGCAGCAGCGGCACTGCGAATGCGTTCATGTCACTAGGGTAAGTGTTGTGTCTACCTCGCCAACATGAAAAACACGCACACACGCTTGCCCTGCTGGTTCTACCAGGAGGTTACTCTAAAAATAAAATCATGAGCATGACAAAGATTTTACGAAATAAGGTTCACCATGTAAGTATCATTGCTATTTATAAACAATGACAAAAATGTTCAAACTCCCTAAATATCACCCAAGGGGACTCAGTTAAATGAATGGGTATAAATTGGAATGCTACAGTTACTAGATGTTCTAGAACCATTTAATGACAGAGTCCTAATATGATTCAAAGTGAAAAAATAAATTATCCATTTGTGTTTATTGTGTGCATTTATGGAGAAAAAGAAACCAAAGGGGTAACTGGCTAGCTCTGGGTGGCATCACACATGACTAACTCTCAACGAAATAGTAAGCGTAACAGTTATCCACCAAGTTTTTACACCGTTCTAAATTCTATCTTTGTCTGTCATGAAAATATGGGATTTTAATAAATACCTGAGGGAGGTGAACTCTTTTAAAGTTACACAGCTGAGAAGGGGACCTGGTTAGACTCACACCCAGGGACCGTGGCTCTGGAGAACAGGTCTTAGCCTCGACACTAAAGGATCTTTTTAACTCTCAATTTTCTGTGGCGATCACATTTGGTGATGTAAAAGGAAAGAGTTATTTATCAAAATCCTCAGCGAAACTGTGCATTTTAACCCTGTCATCATGGTGGGATGGAATATGAGGACTTAAATATTCTCCTATTTACCTAGGTTTTTGTGATTTCCTTTAATGAACATGCACTGCTTTAAAAGAAAACTGTCAATGGGGTGGGGATTTAGCTCAGTGGCACTGTGCCTGCTTGCAAGTGCAAGGTCCTGAGTTCAATGCCCGATACCGCAAATTAAAAAAAAAAAAAAGAAAGAAAAATGTCAAATTAGGTAAATCAACATGAGCCATTTTTTGTTGTTGTTTTGTTTTGTTCTGGTACCAGGGATGAACCCAGACCCTCTGCACTGAGCTTCACCTCCAGCCCTTCATTTTTTATTTGAGACAAGGTATCACTAAGTCACTAAGTTGTCCAGGCTGAGCTCAAACTTACAACCCTTCTGCCTCAGCCTCCCAGAGTGTGGGATTATGGGCATGTGCCACCACGCCTGACTTTTATTATTATTATTATCCCCCCCCCTCCCCGTACCAGGGCTTGAACTCAGGACCTTGCGTTTGCAAACTAAAAGTCCCACCACCCTCTTAGGGCCAGGGCCATGGGCTCAGCTCTGAAGCAGCAGGAAGTGCAGCGGGGAGAGGGGCCGCAGGTCCTCACCTCGCAGGGCCTGCTCGTGCTGTCCCTCCAGGGCGAGGCGCTGCTCTTCCAGCCTCTCCTGGAGCTGCAGCTCCTGCTCCTCCACCTGGGGCAGAGGGGAAGGAGTGAGGGGAGTGTGTCTCCCAGCTCAGCGAAGAAGCCCGTGCCCTCTGCTGAGTGATGGGAAAGAGGTGGGGGCACGGCAGCGTGGCAGGCTTTGCCTGTTTCGGGCTGAGCGAGGGTCCCTGAGAACTGCCTGCGTATGGGCACTTGGGGGCTTCAGCCCAGTGCATCCAGGCAGCAGGAAGCCCACTGCCCAGTCCCTTGTGCTGCAGTGTAGGGAGCGAGAGCAGCCCCCCACTGGGCCAGGCTGTCACCGCAGGCGGGCGTGGGCAGCCTTCCGCACCGAGCGCCCCGCCCTCCCCACCAGGCCGGCCTCTGCCTCGGTCCCGAGCCTCTGCCCGCTCAGGCTGGCTGCTTCCCAGGCTGAGACACAGAAGCCTCATTCCCAGCCTGTGCCTTCTGAGGCCAGGGCGCCCGGCCACGCTTACCACACTGGAGCCTTCTGAGTCCCTGGGCCACCTGCAGGGTACAGGTGATGGCTGCACCAGAGCAAGGCCAGTGGAAAGGGGTTCGAGCCTGGGCTTCCCCTGAGATGAGTGCCCTTCCCCCAGTGACAGGGCTCAATGCCAGGACGCCGGGGACCCTAAAGTCTTGGAGCTAGGCACCCCCAGGCCGAGGTCAGGGCCAAACCACGTCAGGACAATGCTGCTACCAAACCGAAGCCACAGATGTGCTCGGAAAGCCCACTTTTCATAACAGCCCTGTTCTGGAAAATGGGTCCAAGCAGATACTGTTGGAATGTGTTGAGGCTCCTGAAGGACAGGCTTTGGGCCCGAGCAGCCCCTAGCAGGCCCGGGAGCTCACCCTCAGTGCTCCGAGTCCAGCGGAAAATCTTTTAGTCCCCAGTAGCTGCACAGTTTCGCGGAGCTGTGTTCATAACTAATCATTTTTAAAAAGACACTTCATGTTGCAGGAGTGTGAAGGCTCACACTGAGTGTGTTCCACAAGAACCACCACAGGAAACGAACAAGGTGATTTAGGGCAGACGTCTGCACACCACCCTGAGATCTTCCCTGCTCTGTCATCTTCCCCTGGCCGGGGGGAAACGGAGGCACACAAGGGGAGGGCGTGTGGAGTGGGAGTGAGGAAGATGAAATCCTGGGCAGTGGCAGATCGTAGTGGATGAAGCTCAGCATCCTGCGAGCCAGAAGTGTTCTCAGTCTCTCCTCATCTTCTGCAGCCCTGGCATCTGACTAACACGGGCTGCTGAGTGTGTGGAGTGTCCCTCAATATTCACTCCATCTAATTTTGTCTTGAGGCCCTGGGGATTGAATTCCAGGACCTTGCATACACTAGGCAGAGGCTCTGTCACTGAGCCACACTCCAGCCCTTTTGAGTTTTTATTTTGAGACAGGGTCTTGTTAGGTTGCCCAGGCTGACCTTGAACTCTGCCCTTCAGCCTTAGCCTCCTGAGTAGCTAGGATTACAGGTGTGCCTGCTTCCAAATATATACATATATATAATTTATATATTTTACATACATTATATCAGTTATCTTTGGAGACAGGGTCTCACTAAGTAGCCCTAGCTGGCCTTCCATTTGTGGGGATCCTCCTGCCTCAGCCTCCTGAGTGTTGGGATTATAGGCACGCACCACCCATGAGGGTCTTACACAAGCAATTGCACTCAGCCAGAAGGGGCGCTGTTTTTTCTCCACAACTCATCGGCCAGACCTAGCTTGGAGCCCCACACAAACGCACTAGGCCTGAAGGCAAAGAGCCCAGCAGCAGCTCCAACTTCGCCTCTTCTCAGGCCACAGATCAGCTTGGTGAGGGCGACTGCCGGCTCCATTGCGTGGCCAAGGTGTCTGGCCTACAGCGGCCGGAAATAAACACGTGTGAGGCGGATCTAGGGCTCCCTTCTCGGCAAGAAGGCCAGGAGATGCTTCCGACACAAAACCCAAATCACCGGGGATCCCGAGGGGAGAGTGCGCGCTGGGCCCCGGCCCACCTGTTGGGCCCACTTCCTCTCCTCTTCCTGTCGCTGCAGGAGCCGGGCGATGTCCCTCTGGCTCTGGTGCTGCTCGGCCTCCTCAGCTGAGCACAGCTGGGCAGTTGTGGCTGCAGGGAGAAAGAAAGCACTTGAGCAGCGCAGCGCAGGGAGGGCAGGGGAGTGGGAAGCTGCAGTGAACGATGTGAACCCTGGACTCCTCAGGACAGTTCCAGAGGGAACCCCAGATCTCGCTGGCCACGGAGCCCTCCTTTGGGGCAGGAGCCAGCGGTCTCCGCAGCCTCCCGCACCCCGGGCTGCCCCCCACATGCACACCAGAAAGTAGCCACTGAGAATTCACAACCGGGAAGATTTTCCTTCATAACACAGATTTCTAACTTTTTTCTTAAGGAATTCAAAGAGCAGACAGCAAGTCCTTTATGTCAGCTGGGGCTGCAACTCCTTTGGCCAGCCGAGGTCCTCCACTTCTCATGGTGACCCCTGCCCTTCCCCGGGAGGCCTCCCTCTCCCCAGGTACCTGCTGAAATCCGGGCAATCATGGTGCCACCTTGTGGGGGAACTGATCATTCATCAGAAAACAAGGGCAGTGGAAATGATAAAAGCAGGTAGAGCCCCGGGAGTGCAGCAGGCCCGGCAGGGCTCCAAGGTGCCCAGAGTCGTCCTCACACACCCAGGGTGCTGCACTAGGTCATCCCGGAGCACACGCGAGGGGCACGGGCCTTCTGCCACCTGCCCAGGCTCACCAGTTCACCATCGGGACAGCGGGGACCTGATCTTCCCCATCCAACTCTCCTCGTAACTGCCACTCCCCCCCGCCCCACACCTACTGCCGCTCCCGACAGGACACCCACCTTACGCCCCGCCGCTGCTCGCAACAGAAAGAAATGCGCGCCGCGCAGGGCGGGTGCCGGACGCGCTCGTGTCACTAAGCGCTTTCTCTGCAGCTCAGCGGCGCTCGGCACGGGCAGTGGAGGCTGTGCCACAGCCGGGACCGTTAGTTACCACAGCCACTGTTCCAGTGGTCAGCCTCGTGTGGACAGAGCGAGGGCTCCCAGGAGTGGACACAGGGGGGTTTGAGGAAGCGATGGGCATGGCCAGAGAGCCCAGAGGCCCCTCGTCCCGGGCTCAGGGTTGGTCCCGGGATCCCGACCAGACTGAACCCCGCAGGGCAGAAGCCTGCTGTAAAAAAATCCTTCAAAGGGCCGGGGATTTAGTTCAATGGTTTCGCCGCCTGCTGGGCAAGCACTAGGACCTGAGTTCCATCCACGGTACCAAAAAAACCAAACTAAACAAAAAATCCTTTAAAATGCAGATTCTCCACCCCCACTGCCAGAGATGCTTAGCTGAGCGGCTGGAAGGCGGGGCCCAGAATCTGTGTCTGACATTGCTCGAAGAATTTTTATATACAGATTGGAGAAGCTCCAGGTTCGGGCCCAGTGCTCATCTGGGCCTGAACTTGATCTGCACTACCACAGGCGCTTCCAGGCCGTAATCCAGCACTGCAGAGACGCGGCTGGTTCGGGCAGCCCACAAGCAGTTCTTTGAGACGGGGCTGAACTCGGCCTGCGTATCGTTGCTACCTTGAGGCCCTGGTACCCGACCTCTGGCGTACCTAGAACAAAGCTTGTCTTTCTTCTCCACTGGGCACTTCGGACACTCGGAGAGAGTGGGGTTTTAGGGCAACATCTTTCCAGGCCGACCATTCTCTGTTCCTTCACCCATTCTTTGCAGGACATATTTTCCAGATTTTTTATTAGCCCAATTTTGCCCTACTGTATTCCCTCCAATGTTTTTGAATCCCTTTGAAATACTTTCCAGAAATAGACACAGTGCACTAGGTGTGGTATCAGCCCCTCAGAACAAGGAGGCACAGGTCAGGATTATCACCTCTGAGGTTTTGCACAAGATACTCCTATTAATGTAACCTACCTAAGACCTCGCAGGCTCTTAAAGTGGCTCCATCTGCTTTGTTGATTACAAGGTAGAAACATTGTGAGTGTCAGTGGGTACAGCTGTGGGCTTGGCTACTCACCTGCGTCCTTATTCAGGGGACTCAGTTCCTGGGGCCCTGGATCGGGCGGCTGCTCCTGTTCTCGGTGCCCCTGGAAGAAATGATTCACAGATGAGGAGCTAAGGCTGGCAGGGTCAGAGCCTGATGGAGGTGGCTTGGGCCTCACCTCAGGATGCTTCATCCAACCCTGGCCTGAACTGGCTGAGTCTGACAGGAGAAGAAGCTGACGGAGGGACCTTCCTGTCAGTGTGGTGTCCACTGCCCCTGAGATTTCGTAAATGAACGACATTTTAATTCACTGTTTTTGGTGGTGGGGTTGAGCCCAGGGTCTGGCATTCAAGGCTGGTGCTCTGCATTGAGTCATGGCCCTGGCTCACTGGGCTGGCAGGGTGGTAGGAGCAGACAACCCAGGACGTTTGATGAAAAAAGTATTTGCAGGTTATCATTTTACCTCATTTTTATTTCATTTTGTATCATTAATACTTTTGTGTGGCCCTGGGGATTGTACCAAGGCCTTGTCCATGCTAGGCCAGTGCTCTACCACTGAGTTGCAAACTCCACCCCCACCCCCTTTCTTAAATTTTTATTTTGAGCAAGGCCTTGTCATGTTGCCCAGGCTGACCTCCAACTTGCAGTCCTCCTGACTCAGCCTCCAAAGTAGCTGGGATTACAGGCGTGCTTCCCTAGTGTTTTGAAAAATAAAGATATTTTAACCTTCCAAGACACAGGAGGGGCTCAAGAACAGTCCATGCAAGAAAGCAGTGCTGATATCGACGCAACACTGTCTCCCCAAGCACACTTCTCTCATTTTAGTCCAGGTGGGTGAAAAGCTGGCCAAGATTTGGGATGGAAAAGAAACCGACTTTTTGTACATGTGTCAAGGTGGTTTAAAAAGAAAGGAGAGAGCCAGATGTGGTGGCACACACCTGTAACCTCAGCATTCGGGGGGCTGAGGCAGGAGTACCACTGCAAGTTCCAGGCCAGCCTGGGCTACATAGGGAAACCTTCAAAAACAGAAGGAAAGAACAGAAAGGAGAAAAAAATGTTCTAGATCCTATTTTAAGAACCATTTTATAAAGTCAGACCATGAGGGCTGGGGATTTAAAGTCAGACCGTGAAAAAGTTACAAAAATGATTAATTGTATATTTAAAAAGAAAAACATTACTTTTGACTATGGTGACAGGTTTGTAAAAAGCAATTGTTAGGACAGAAGTTGGTACTAGCTTCCTGACCTTAAGACCTTCTGCTAGAAAGCACACTCTGACAGCGGAGGGCTGATCACCACGGGCGCTTCCAGGATGGACTGCTCTCCCCGTGAGGTGCCAGGCACAGAGCCTGGCACGCTTGTGTCCCTGGGAGCTGGAGGAGGCATGGCGCCTCCCCCAGGCCCCTGTGCCCAGATCTGCCTGCGGCCCTTGGCCTGATGACCAGCTCCTGGCCACTCTCCCGTCCTGGGTGGCAGGATGCCTGGGCCAGGCGCAGCCGGAGGAGCTGTCAACGCGGAAATCTGGAGGTGCCGAGCAGCCTCCCGGGCCAGAGGAGGGGAGACAGTCGACAGTGCCACTCCTTCCCCACTGCTGTCACTGGTCAAGGAGAACCTGGGTTGTGTTTTCTGGGGTCCGAGCCTGGCTCTGCTCCTGAGACCCCACCAGGCTTGCTCCCATCCGCCTCAGCTCCTCCAGAGCTCTTCAGGCAGAGGTCACTGCAGGCCAGGTGACTGAGACCCCGGGGTCTGAGACATGGTCCCACTGGGCCCATCCCAGTCAGCCTCGCAACCAGGAGTGGGATGTTAGTGCCCCGAAGGGCAGCAGGTTAAGAACTCCGGGACCCTAGGATCACCCCGGTCTGGATCTGAGCCCCAAGCCCAGCACTATGGCCCCGCGATCACACCAGGCCTGTTTCCGTGCGGGGCTGTGGTGGGGTTCGATGGACCAAGGCAGCTGCAGAGCCCCACACAGCGCACACCTCAACCACTGCGGAAGTTCTTGCCGTGGGTCAGGAATACGGCGAGAACAGAGCTCAGACTCGTGCTCGGCAGATCTCTCAGGCTGCCGCTGCCACCGATCACAGGCTTTGCCACCTGAAATAAGACCCAAGCCCAGGAAACACGGCCCTCTTCCAAATAACAGCAGTCATGGATGGAATGGTGGAGAACTCCTCCTCATAAAAAGCCGCCAGACAGGCAGGCGTGGTGGCGCACAGCTGGGATCCCCACACTCTGGCAGGCTGAGGCAGGGGATCCCAAGTTTGAGCCCAGCCTGGGCAACTTAGTGACTTAGCGAGACCTTGTCCTCAAATAGAAAATTAAAAAAGGGCTGGGGATGTAGCACGGTGTGAAGGCCCTGGGTTCAAGCCTCAGAACCACACATCCAAAAGCAAGGCAGGCTCAGGACGTGGCCTTAAGCATGCATCCCTAAAGCCCACCATTCTCTTAACATTTAAATATTTCAAACATCTTTTTCCAGTATAGAAAATACAGAAAAATTTAAAAATTAAATCCTACTTCCTAGAGGCAACCCTAGAGCAAAGGCATATACTGGTCTCCTCCACAGCTGTATTCAGCACTGGAATATTACATGGACTTTCTTATACCTTCATTTTTCAAACATGAGCATTTACAGTACAGCATGACTATAAATGTATTAATTTCAATGACTTACAGTGCTCAGAGCATGCGCTGAGCATGCAGTTCATGCTTGGCTTCCATTCCCAACACCAGCAAACAAACAAACAAACAAACAAGCTTGTGTGCACATCTAACAGGACGGGCCCCGGCCCTCTGGAAGTCCCAGCAGGCTTCTCACCCACAAATGGCCACGAGGAAGGCCAGTTCCAGTGCACCTCGGCCGGCAGGAAATGTTACTGGATCACTTCTTAGAAACTGTCAGCACATTTGCTAGATCAAAACTTGGGTCCCTTCTGGCCCCAACACGCATGTCCTTGGCCACCCCACCCTGCCCAGGTTCCCTCCCAGGCACCCACTGCTTCTCTGGCTCCCTCCGGCCCTCCCCGTCCTGGGCTCCCAGGACACCATCCGGGGAGTGGTCTATGTCTCCTGTCTGCCAAGGCCTCCTCAAGGACAGACACCACTTCTGAAGCCCACTTTGGGTGTGTCCAGTGTCTGGCATGGTGACCAAACAGGACTGCCAGGGCTCTGTGGACTTTCTGGGTGAGGAGCAAGTGGGCTGCTCAGTTCACATAATCTCCAGCCTGGTCTGGGCCCATAGGACCCGGGGGCAGTGCATGCTGGGATCTCCACTCCTGGTCATTGTCCAGATGACCCGGAAGCTCACAGACGCCTGGCGACACAAGGCCTAGAGCAGAGCAGGACCCAAACAACCACTGAATGGAAACTCTCCGGGTTGGTTTCCCGAGCTGCTTCCTCCTCAGAGGTCACAGAGCAGAGCACACCCTGCATGGGAGAGGTGTGAAGGGGACATAAGAACTTCCCCTTCCAAAAGGAGGGGCATTGTGGGGAGGCCTAGGGCTGGGGTGGGGCATCCGGACTGTGCTCTGACAGGGATGGCAGCTTCCTGAGTCACCGGAAACCTGGGAGTAAGAAGGCGGGCAGTACAGAACGTGGGAGAACTCGGATTCCAGCTTGACTGGGGGACTTCAGGCAAGTCACTTCTTCCCTAGGTCTCAGTTCCCTGTCTGTGAAAGATCAAGATCTCCTCAGCCCTCCTCCTAAGATGGCTGGAAACAGAGCCCTGTCCCTGGGCAGCACACACAGCTCTGAGGCCCTGCAGCCTGTCAAGCCCTCGAGGGCCCCGTGGAGATGACCGGAAGCACTCTGGGCCACAGCAGGACCTGGCTGTCAGAGCAGACACAGTTGGGCAGGATGAGAGGAGGTTGCCCAGGGCTGTGGCAGAGCCCAGTGAGACCCCTGAGGAGAGGCCCACAGTCTGGGGGCAAAGTGGACCAATGGAAGGGCATTGGAAAGAAAAACTGACGGGCTGTGGAAGGCACCCAGGAGCTGCTGTGACCAGAACATCAGTCGGAGCAGAAGCAACTTGGACCGAAGCTGCCCGGCTGTCCCTTCAGAATGGGGTCAGGAGCGGCCCTGAGAACGGCTCGGCCTCACTGCTGGCACTCGGCCTGGCCCCTTTTCCAGAGCCTTCACTCTGTTCTGTGTGAGGGCTGTCCACGCTTGTGCATTTCTGATAAGGGCTTTGTGACCTCTGCCTGATGCAGAGCCTTTCCCACAGAGGGGCCTTAAGGTCCTCCTTGTCCCATGGCCACAGCCCTGGCTCCCTCCGGCCACACAGTTTTACCCACCTATCTTGGCTGAGCTGAGGAAGGCATGCGGAGGCCCAGGGACAGGAAGGAAGGGCCCTGGAGGGAGTTCATTCCAGGCTCCACCTCCTTCCTCCAGGTAGAGAAACTGAGGCCCATGGGAGGGCTGGGCAGATCACCTGCCAGAGGCTACAGGCCGGGAAGCAGGGCCCTGCGAAGAACTTGATGCACAGTGAGCCTGGCGCCTCTTCCTCCTCCTCCCTCAGGCATCTGAATGCCAGCTTTACCCAGGGGTCCGGGCCTTTGGGGCAGTGCTGGTTCTGAGTCCGGGACTCAGGTGGAAGCCTGGGCAGTGTGACAGCCGCCTTCCTGCAGTCCCACTCCACCTGGGTGTGGCCCCAGCACCATGAGCTTCGGATTTGAACAACCACAGGCAAGGCCATTGGCCCGGAGACAGAGGCAGGAAGGAGGCGGTGGTGGGGCCCCCCGGGGGCCTTGCGGGGCCAGGCCTACATACTCAGCACTATGAGAAATGCGAGCACTCACACCCGAGCTAGGAGGCTCAGAACAGCAGACACAGGCCCCTGCTTCCCCATCTCTCAGACGGCAGAGTCGTCTGCCCAATAATGCCTACGTGGGATCTCCTTCGCACACTGCCAGGGCCACTGAGGCTTAGCTCAGCCCCCACGAGGTCAGCATCTCCTAGGCCTGCCTGGGGCACAACCAGACCAACGGAGAGCTGGGCCGCCAGCCCCCGCAGGCTGCACACCTGCAGTGGCCCCACAGCGCACAGGGCAGGGACGGATGTGGTCTCGTCGCTCCTACGCCCCGCTGACAAGCGAGGCCGGGGACCTCCGCTCCTAGACACCTGCCCCACAGGCCTGCTGCTCCTCCCTGCCAGCCCACACAGCCTCGAGAGGCTTCCCACCCTGGCTCATTTATGCTCTTCCTCCCTACAGTTTGCCTTTTCTTGCCCCAAATCTGCCGTGTTTGGCTGCCTTGGAGGGAGGCCCGGAGCCGGTGAAAG